TAAGAGGATATGCTGAGACTTTTCAGATTCAAACCTCCATGGGTTGTTGAATATATTCTGGGAAAGAATCCACCACAGCAGCTCTGCACTTTCTGTCTCTGAAACACTCAAATATCTTGCAAACAACATTTGTGACCTTCCCTCTCAGAGAAATGGGGCAGCTGAAGGGCAGTAGCTTCCAGCCCCTTTCTACTGTATGGAACAGACAAGGATCCTATTTCCCCAAAAAGCTCACAGCACCAGAAACAGCCTCAGGGATACTAATGCATTGGGAATAAGTAGATTGCAGCATCCTTATGTTCTATTTAATGTCAGATGATGTTGGGAAACTGGAGACATCTGTGCAAGGCACAGTAGCTGTAGTGACTTTATGGGGGTTCCATTTCTCTTTGCTTTCAGAGGTTTTCATTTTACTGTAGTAGGAGCAAAATGAAAACAGTAATATCTTTGAATATTTAACAATGCCAATGTTTGAATGGAATAATGAGATAAAGATTACTACACTCTATTTTGATCTCTTCATGACATAGCCATACAATTATATTGGTTTCCATTCTGAAGTTAAGGCGCAGAGAGTGAGCACACTCCTGTATTTGAACCTCAGATGTTCAAAATCACTGATAGTTGGCCTAACCTTTTTCATCTACATGAAGAGGATGCTACTACTTTGCTACTCCTTTGCTACTCCTGCTGCTTTTCACTGCTCTGCTTGCTCACCTAAGTAGCAAAGTCTGATTAAACCCACAGCCCAGCTTTAAAACCTGTCAGAAAGTGCTGAAAACATGCTGAGTATGTTGCTACTCACAATAGAGCATTTTTTCCCTTTTCAGATTAAAAAAATGATTGAGAACAAACAGCCCTTCTAGTATTACTGGTATCTTAAATTAGGGGCTTGGGAATACCAATATTAAAAGTTAAACTGGTTTTTAACCTAATACTAACTGTGCAACAGTTCCTAATTTAGAAAGACAGCCCAGAATTTTCAGAATTTCACTTTCTGTAGTATGGCAACAAAGAACCTTGCACTGTATCACAATGTTAACTCTATTAAATTGTATCATCATAACAGACCTTAAACTTCCAGATGAAAGGAAACATCAGTATGGAAAAGAAATGCTAGTATTAATAATAGGACAAAAGACCGATAAATATATAATCCAAATATTCCTGAGTGGTATAATTGAATGCTAACTTTACCAGTCACTGAAACAAGAAAACATCACATAGACCAGTCAGCTTATTCTTGATTCTTACAGGAAAAAGATGGAACAATATCTAATGATTACAGTAGATCTCAAATAAAACATGAGTGAATGATGTTCTAATCACCACACTAGTATAAATAAGCAGAAGTAGAGTCTGCAAAACATATTAATTAATCCTTTTGCTGTATTCCTCTGTGGTAGGCCTGAACTACTGGAGGTCTAGGAAAAAAACCCAAAAAACAAAAACCAACCAACCAAACAAAAAAACCAGCCACCAAACACAAAGAGAAGTGGAAAACTCTCCTGCTGTTCCTCCACAAAACAGGTTAGGAGTTGAGAGAGGCTTAGAATACAGCATTGCATGTTTTAAATATGTAAAACTCACTAAGAGAACAGTGTATATCACCCATCGTGCACAGAATAAGCTTCAGAAAGCAAAATTCACCTCAGATACCAAAACCAGCTCTCTACAGTAAGTGCAGTGAAAACACCAAACACCACAAGAATCTGTGTGTACAGCTTGCCAAGGTGGAGAACCTGCATTGCCAGAGGATTTTTAAATTTAGCCCATCTGTAAAAAAGTAAGCTGTGGTATTGATCCTCTAGCAGGGAAAGGAAGCAGCTTGGATATCTTTTTGAACTCCCACAGATTTCACAATTATTATTTTAGATTTCATTTCAACAATTAGTGTGGGTCTTCAGTATAAATAGCTGAACAAACACAACCTGTTCTGTAATTAAGATTCTGTATTTTGAAGAGGCAAGAGCAGAAAATTCAAGTGAACTAGTAGCGAAATCTCAAGGTTCTGAATGAGATAAGACATGAATTCCTTCAAATTACAGTGGAAAACAGATTTATATCTTCAATCTCTAGCCATCAAAACTTTTTTCTTTTTAAAGAAGAACATTCCAAGACAAGTTGCTAATAGGAATAAACAGAATCTACAAAAAAGAAGAACTGGTGTTTAATAATTCAGGAAAAATGGCAGTAAGAGGTAGAAACAACTAAGTCCCTGCAATTTGGGCTTCAAGAAACAATGACCCAAAACAAAGCAAAAATTCTCCCCAAACCAAAATCAAAACAACAGTCAAGCAGTGGTTTAGTCACATACAAAGAGGAGACTGAAAATACCAAAGACATACAAAGCCTACATTTAAATTTTGCCACCATTTTTGACAAAGACACTGATCACAAATCAAGGACAAAATGGCTTGTGAATGATGGCATGGAAACAAAATCTTTTTTGTTACAAGGTAAAATAAACTCTAGCTTCATGTTATAAAGGGGAGTTCACCAGATTTCCATTTCAGACCTACAACAAAAATTGTACATGAAAATTATTTAATCCTACATAAAGTGTAGTATATCAGTAAAATATGTTACAAGAAAACAGAGGACACTGACACAAATAGCCATGGATAATTATTGTCAAATTCTGCATATACTGTAGAAAGATATCCTCCTCCCAAAAGAGACCTGAAAAACAGGACAGAATGGGTTTACCACATCCACAAAGCCAATTGCTTTGAAGAGAACCAATTGTCAAAGGAAAATTAAGAGATTTAATTTATCTGGCCTTGACTCCTGCTGCAACACCAAGACTGAAATCACTGGCTCACTGAAGAAGATAATAGAATAATTTTCAAACAGCTACAAAAAAGTGAAAAATACACCATGCTGAAAGGTTAACTGTCCAAGAGAAAAAAGACCTACTAGAATTCTTACAATTCCTTAAGAATTACTCTGAAAACTAATTTTATTGAACTTAGCAGTCAGGGTCCAAGAAAGATTTCCCCATTAAAGCAGAAGGTGGTAAATTATGTGGATTCAGAAGCCACCATACTATTTTTCAGAGAGAATTTATTAACCTTGAAGTCTAATATTATAAATGAGATTAAGCAGTCAAAAATTAATGAAACCAGGAAAATTAAGTAAAACAAGTGGCATGAGCCTAAGATATGAATAAACTCATGCTTCTGAAATGACAGGAGGAAAAGAAACCCTCTCAAACCTCAGGATTTCTATCATTACTTCACTACAAGCTGATGATATGAGCAGCTATGAACAGGGTGTAGGTGGCTCAAGAAAGCACCACAAGACGTAAATCCAACAAATATACAGACACAGTGTACAAGACACTGGAGAAATACCATCTGAAATACCACATAATTTCTAGATTTTCATACTCCAAAGACTAATTCAACCTAGAAAAGACTGCACACAAAGGTGTTAAGAGGGAGAATCATACAGCAGAGACCAATTCTTAAAGAAATCTAAGAGTGTCTCTGCCTTAGTTGCAAAACAAAACAGAGATGTCATCACTGTTTCCAAAAGCATAGCAGAGAAAATCAGGAATGTAAAACAAATAATCATATAGTGAATGGCCACAAAAAAGTTAGAACATGAAAATTATAGTGAATTTTTAATCACCAAAGACCAATAGGCTGAAACACATTTTGGAAGGGCACCAAAAGAAGAAGCACCTTTGAGTGGTGAGAACCACTCACAGATTTCCAAATGAAGTTCCAGAAACTTGCAGTCCTGAAAAATGGAGTGGAATGCTGTAGAAGGGGAGTGGATGTAACCACCCATGACATGATCTCTACTGATGATTTCTACTCTTATGCCCTTGTACTGGGTGAGAGATCTACACACAGTTTGGTTTCAGCCACCAGCAGCATCCACTCCACAACGTTCCCTCAGTACATCTCCAGAGATGTATCAGACTGACATGGCTACACACTGGGACCTCCTTGGATGTACAAAGCTTGGATGTGAAATGCAAGCACCAGTGTGTTCACTGACTTAGAGTGATTAGGAGAGGAAATGAGAACCTCTGCAAGAAGAAACATAAGTCCAAGAGGCCAAAAGCAGCCTGTTTGCTTATTTGAGCAGATTTTAGCTAAGAGGTTACACTATTTTCATTTCCATATGTGGCTTATCAAAATAACATTTAGAAATACTGAGTTTTATTTAATCTCTTTTCATCAGTCAGTAACTTAAGTGCAGATGCAGGGCAGGGGTTGGGATGATCTTGACAGCAGAGCAGCCATCAGAACACAGACAGTCCCAACAGCAGCACCTTTTCCTCACAGGCACCTCAAGATCTACAGAAGACACAGCCCAGTGCTCTCTGTGGACATCATGCTTCAGAGGTGGGACCCAAACATGCCTTTTTTCACAATTCCAAGCATTAGCCCACTCTCAGAAATGTTTTTCTGTCAGCTTGAAAATCACTTAGCTGCACAAAACCCATTGATCCGTTACAGCTTAGAAATGTTTTAGTTCAGAAATGTTATGGTAATTGGGAGAAGACCAAAAAAAATCTTCCTAAAATCAGGTTAATCTGTATTTTATTTTAAAGAGGTCTGCAGACAATTAGCATTACTGCTTTTCTTGTGTCCTCATTTTTTCTCCCTCATAAAAAGTGTCTCTTCAATACTAACTAATGTAAATTTTAATTATGAACATATTTTAATTAATCTCTTTACTGAAGGTAACATGTCCTTCAAGCAAAGGGATTCTCTAAGTGTGTAACATGCAAGAAAAGCACATTTTCCAAAACACGGTAACTTCAAAAGCAGAAAGGGGGCATATAACATATTCTTAAAGTGATGAACTCTGACTGAACACCTTCCCCTCTTTTTACAGGGGATTCTTAAATTCATACTTTCTTCTACTTTATGTTTTAGATTACAGCCTCATAGTTCAGATTTGAAGAGTACAGTAGGTCTAGTGTCTAGCATGCAAATTGCTACTGAAACACTGTTAATTAATTTAAAATTTACACGTACCTCTCTCTTCCTCAGTAACCACTTTATCCATCGCATAGTCCACATCAAAAATGTATCGGTAGAAGCAGAGCTGAGTGTACAGGGCCTTGTCAGAGTACTGCAATGTAAGAAGACAGCAGTTAAAAACCCAACTCAAAAGTGTGTCTCTTGCACCCATTTCTAAGTCCACTATTAAAAAGTGATTATTTCTATTTGGTTTTCTTCCAACAGTTTATATGTTTATATGATCTATTCACGTCAGCTTTTGGAATTATTATTACAGTGTCCTTATTACACTTCTATACTTTCCTCACAATTTACACCAAACACTTACATGAATCAACTAAACTTGTAAGTTCTTACAGAAACTTAAAATACATTTATCCATTCTTATAGATACACATATCACAATGATGCCTTAGCAAGAAAATAGAAATCATAAGAATGACGAGACAAAGGAATAATTTTGGTGCTTTAATATATTGTACAATACAATGAACTAAGAACAAAATAATTAATGTCTATTTTTTTATGAGTACAGGTGTTTGTCTGTATTCCCCTCCTCCGACTCCATCTGTGGTTCCATAATTTGGGAATGTCTCACCCAAATAAGAACAAGTGCATATACACCTTTACAGCTGCATCATCACCTTGCTGCACACATCTGTGAGGGCTACTGCATGTTAGTAATCACACATGCAGTTCAAAAATCTGCAGATGTGTACCTGTAGAATATGCTACTCAATTAAATGGTCTGAAGGCCAGTTATGTCAAGCCTCTCTGCTATTCCTCTAATTCCAAAGTGCACACCTGGATGCTCTCCTATCACTGCCACTGTTCTGTGCTCCAAAAATTGCTTGAATAGACATGAGATTCATCTAGACCACACTACAATTAAAACCTTTCAAGTTCATCTCTTGCACTTTTGTTCCATATAATGACATTCCTCTCCCTGCTGTTTAAGATATTGAATTTTAGATATTGGTGAACAATGGTTCGAGGGGCTGTTCATTACAAAGAATAAGATCGTTTTAACAGCATCAAATTTGGAAGTAGTGTCCATTTTAATGTATTTTGTGCAGAGATAGCCATACACAAACCTTCAAAGATTTTCTTGATGAGCTATAAAACATAGGAAGTGGTTAAACCAACAGGAAGCTGCCACGCAGCATACCACTAAGAAGGATCCTGAAAATGCAGTGGAAGAGCAACTGGTAAACTATTTCTGCTTAAGGAATTCTACTTTAACTCAGTAGAGTTTTCAGTCTTCTGCCCATTCAAGCCAAGTTTTGCTACTACATTCAGCTAATTTTACACTTCTATTGACATGCAATAAGTATCCATAACTATTAAGCAAGTCATGTTGAGACATCTGACAACTATTACTACTGCTTAGTTATTTTTTATATATTTTAACAGTATAGTTTTTTTCCACTTCATGTGAACCTATTTTAAAAAAGACACACAGAAGCATATTTTATTCCTTATTAGCTATTCTACGATATGCATCATCATTATACTATTATACACCAGTTATTTTTAGTAAATCCTGATTACTGCTTCCTGAAGAAGAAAAAAGGAGGACGACAGCGATTAAGTTATTTGTTTAGTTTTTTAGATTCAGCTGTAATTGCTGGTACACATCTCCCTGACTGCACACATGAAGCAGGTTGAATAGAACACTGAAATTACCTCCTTCATAATAGTTTGTTTTGATAATGTATTGTGTGTCGAGATGATGAGAAACAGTTGCTGTCAATTTGATTAGCCATTATATTTTTATGTTAATTGCCATTATTGGGTCCATTCTGTTTAGTGTCACCATAGAAGCCATACAATGTTAGCATAAATAACAAATTGGAGTAAATTAGGAAGATATATTTTTGCCAATTCATTTTAATTGCCCCTCAGTCCTTCCGTCGGTTAACGCAGCTGTTGACCCATAATAAGCGCTAGGTCAATATAGCTGCTTGTCAATTCAGAAATGCAAAGTGCTGTGTTGCTGGTAATGGATATACAACAACCTTTGCCAGCCAACTGAAGCAAACGAATGACAACTCACACGAAAGAATAAAGCATCAGCTATAGAGTTTCGTGACCTGATATTAGTAGGCAGGCTAATTGAAAGTCACTGCTTAAATGGATAAAGAAAGTACAAAAATCAGTATGTAAAAATGTATACAAGCACACATAGGCAGATATATATACACACACACAATTTTTTTTTTTATTGATAATGTCCTAGTATCTCCTTCCCTTTAGCTTCCTGTATCTTACACTTAACTAACTGGTAAAAAACAAAACGTTTCAAGATTTTCATGCAATTAAATATTAATATCATGGCATATTAATGAATACAAGGACAAGGCACCTTAAATTTGAAAGGACTTTAAGAACTACTTATATCACCATTTCTTACATTTTCTTAATTTCTGACAATCTGTAGGTTTAAAAAAGGGGAAAAAATCCCAATGCCTAAAACTTTAAACCCAAATAATGTTTAATTTTAACAGCCATTCTTTTGTGTAAATAAAACCCAAGACCCCAGCATTACAGGAAGAACTGGAGCTAATTTTATATCACCATTTATGCATTCTTTCTTCCTTGGAAAGACTGAATGGCAAGCAGATGAAAACAAAACTCTATTTCCAAGTCTTTATTTACTCCATGATGTTTGATTTCTTTATTTCCTTAAGACCTAACTTCTGCAGGTAAGTCTGCTTCTTTCAGAGCTTCCACTCATGGAAAGAACATTTTGTTCTTTTCATGCAACCGAACTATTTTTTTAAAATTGCATTTAAAACCACAATCAACAGATGAAGGAACAAAAGGTATATATTTTTCATTCAAAGTTATTCACTTCTTTGACAGAAGAATTAGACTTCTAATATAAAAATAACAGATGCATTAAAAATAAACCATTGTGTTTAGCCAACAAAATATTAATTTAAATCTAGGTTTGAAATGGTTGTAGAACTGTTTCCTGCAGCATCATGAGGCCAACTGCAAATCTCCAACTGCCTTCCCAGGAAGAATTTAAGATTACACAAGATTATGCAGCAGGAAACCTATGATGTCTTATAAGAACTGGTGAGTTATGAACACTGGAAAAGCAAATTTTCCTATGACTAAGCATAAAGCACTCAGTCATGAAAAGAAAATTATCTTGCTCAGCTACCACACACACCAGACAATGTCCACCAGGGCATACATAAGGAAAGGAGAATTCTCAGGAGCTCCTGAAAGACAGTGGTGCCTCCACACACGGCCACGTCCACCCTGCTCCAACATAACATCTGGCTCAGCATCTGCCCTGCCCCTGCAGCTGCTGGTGTTTGAACAAGGCACTGGGCTGAAGGGAAGCACCATCTCTTCTCCTGTCTCACAAATGCATAAAAACTCAGCTCCAGTGCAAGGTTCCCTTTCACATACACTCCAGCCATACCAGACAGTTCCCTTGCTCCAAAAAAAGTGTAGTCAAAGAGTAAGGATTTTTCCAGAGGAAAGTAACCCTTCTCTAACAAGATGTGAGAATAGAAACGGGTTTTCCTAATCTGAAAAGAGAGAGAGTAAAAAAATAGCCAGTGTCCTCTTTTCCGCCTCTTTTTTAGAACTGCAAAAGCTCAACTTCCAGAAATTAAGGTCCATGGAAACACTTAGCCATTGGCTGCCATCTTCCTACCCTAAACACAGAGCAGTTTTGAGGAGAAATCAAGATGCACAATCTCCAATCTCTCACCAGCTTTTCTGTTATTTAGGAAGTTTGGTGGCAGCTGCATTAAGGTGTTGATATTAGAAGGCTTCTCCCTCAATGCTGGTTAGTTTAAATTACATTCCAAGGAATTTCACTTGGGATGCCTCACTGTCCTTCCTCCTGTTAGGAGGGCACCCGAGAGGGAAACACACCAGCCTCTAAAACCCACTCAGTACTGAAGGGCAGCACAGCAACCTAGAGAATGAGGTAAGAAATCAGGAAAAGAGGGAAAGACAGAAGGAAAATCTGATGGAAACTCAGAACAGCAAGGCAGCAGAAGACTGAACTAGTGATCCTAGTGCTGATGTTTTACTCATCTGGATGCAGTGCAATTTCACAAAACATCTTTTAACCAGCACACAAAACCTCCATATCTTGAAAGTGTGCATTTAAACAGGTTAGACAACTAGATGTCCTTATTTAGATTAATTTTAGAATCATAGAACAGTTTGGGTTGGAAGGCATCTTAACGATCATCTAATTTCACCCCCCACTGCCATGGGCAGGGACAGCTTCCACTAGACTGCTTCCACAAGGTTGCTCAAAGCCCATTCCAACCTGGTCTGCAACATTTCCAAGGGATGGGGGATCCACAGCTTCCCTGGGCAACTTGTTCCAGTGCCTACAACCCTCACAGTAAAGAATTTCCTCAGAACACCTAACCTAAATATACCCTCTGCTAAAATTGTTCCCCCTTGTCCTGTCGTTACCTGCATGAAACTTCACTGTGAATTCCTGCATTAACCAAATACATGATGGTCAATGCTTCTTCAAAACTCTTTACTCATATTACTCTGCAGTCTTTCATTTATTCTCTGGCATCTCCCAAATCCTTATACTTCTCTATAGTCCTGCAACACTCATAACCCTTTAAGTGTTTTCTGCATCCTCATTTTTTCTGCCCTTCTACTTTCTTCTGCACCTGACTCTCTCCCATGTCTTCAAGCCCTTCCTATGGTGTATTCTTTCTTTACTGTTGTGTCACCTATGGTTTTAAGGATGATAAAGGCAGTAAGAAATTAAATAAAATCCGCCAAAAAAATCCACCATTTAGTTTGCTAACTCTAATAGACTGCTTTGCAAAAGAGATAATTTCCACAGGCTACAGAAGTTATTTGTATAACTTCAATTAATTATAATACAAAACAGTGGCACCACTTCATTAATCAGCTGCTTGAGAGAGTTACTTTTGTGAAAAGCCTTTTTTATAATTTTGATTAAAAAGAATAGTGGCTCTTACTACTGTGGTATGATTCAGTATGTCCATCAAACAAATCCTTAATATTTTAAAAACAGGAAAGAAATAAAAGGAAACAGCAAAGAAGTCTCTTGGCAGAAAAATGTGTCTTAGGAAGTCTTTCAAG